TGGGGGCCTAGTTCGGGGGGCCCCTGGGGCCCCTGTAGAGAGAGCACTTAAACAGGGGGCCCCTTAGTAGGGGGCCCCTTCTCTTAACTCTTAAGCAAGGGGCCCCCAGGGGCCCCCCGGCAGACAGGGTTCTAGGGCCTAAAGAGAGAGGGTTTAGAAGAATGGGGGCCCCTTGCTTAGGGTTAAGAGAAGGGGCCCCCTACTAAGGGGCCCCTGGGGCCCCTGCTGAGGCAGTAGAAGAAGGGGGCCCCTTGCTGAGGGGCCCCCTGGGGGCCCCTCAGCAGAGAGGGTTTAATAGAATGAGGGCCCTGCTGAGGGCCCCCCAGGGGCCCCCCAGGGGCCCCTGAGCATAAACGGTTTAGAAGAAGGGGGCCCCTTCTTGGGGGCCCCGGGGCCCTGCTGAGGGGCCCCCCAGGGGCCCCTAAGGACAAAGGGTTTAGAAGAAGGGGGCCCCTTCTGGGGGCCCCCCCGGGGGCCCCTTTCTATGGCCGAAGTTAATGAAGGCCTCTTCTTCTTCTTTGTATGCACGCAGCGCAGCCTCAACTCTGCGGCGTTCAGACACCTGGGCCCTGCAGCAGCAGCAGCAGCAGCAGCAGCAGCAACAGCAATAGCAGCAACAGCAGCAATAGCGGCATATATGGGGGGACTTCGGTATTCTGCGGCTGCTGTTGCTTTCATTGCTAGTGCTGCTGTTGCTAGTGCTGCTGCGGCAGCAACTGCACTTACTGCTGCAGCACTCCTTTAGTGTCTACTGCTGTTGCTGCTGCTGTTGCTTGTGTACGTACCGGAAGAACGCGAGGAGTCTCCAAGCAGCAACAGCAGCAGCTGCTGCTGCTGCCAGTTGCAACCCTAGTCTCTTCTCTGCCTGCAGCTGCAGCGCAGCACCTTTTATTTTTCTTGCTTCTGGGTTCCGGGGGTCCTTAGGGGCCCCCCACGAAAACAATGCTGCTGCAGGGGGGCCCCCCGTGGCTGGCAGCAGCGCAGCAAACGGGGGCCTCTTTCCTAGAGGCCCTTTGAAATCCTCAGCGTCTGCTGCAGTTGCTGCTGCTGCTGCTGCTGCTGCAGTTGCTGCTGCTGCTGCAGCTGCAGCTTCCGCTGCCTTTTGAGTTTGTGTTTGGCGTCTCCTTTTGATGAGGGCAGCAGCAGCGACTGCGGCAGCAGTAGCAGCAGCTGCTGCTGTTGCTGCTGCTGCTGCTGGGTTAGCTGCTGCACACTGCAGCAGGTGTGGGGCCCCTGCAGCAGCGTGAAGAATGAGGCCCTTAGCCGAGCGCAGCAGCAGCAAAGACACACTAAAAGATAATTGCTGCTTCAGCCGAGAGACAAATTGACAGCCAAAGGTGGAGACGCCTGCCCCTACACGCCGAGCAGCAGCAACCCAGCGAGACGTTTGCTGCTGCTTCAGCTGCTGCTGCTGCTGCTGTTGCTGCTGTTGCTGCTGCTGCTGCTGATGCGCCTGCAACAACGGGGCTTGCTCGAGTGGGAAGAGAGCACAGACTGAAGGATCTGCTGCTGCTGCTGTTGCTGCTGCTGCTGCAGAAATAGGTACGGGTGCCTGTGTCGCCCATGCTGCAGCATGATGTAGCGCAGCAGCAGGAACCACCCTTCCTGCTGCTGCTGCTGCTGCTGCTGCTGCTGCTGTTTCTACACTGCAGCAAGGCGTAGCTGCGTCCTTTGCTGCTGATGATGATAATGATTTTAAAGCAGCAACCCCAGACGGCCTCACTATCAACGGGGAACACTTTAAAGTGCTGCTGCTGCTGCTGCTGTTGCTGCTGCTGCTGTTGCTGGGGGGATTGCAACTGTTGAGCAGCAGGAAAGGTCTTCCTGGCTGTCGGAGGAGGAAAGCAGCTGATGTTGGTGTTGCTGCTCCTGCTGTTGCTGCTGCTGCTGCTGCTGTTAGGGTTGCTGCCTGTGTAGAAGACACTTGCTGCTGCTGCAGCGGCCGAGTTGTTGTGCAGCAGCAGCAGGTCCCCAACAGCAGCAGCAGAACGAGAAATGCATGCACTCTCGTACCCATCGCAGCAGCAGCAGCAGCAGCAGCAGGACGTGCTGCTGCTGCTGCTGCCTTCCGCTGCTGTTTCATCTGCAGACAAGAAGGGGGGGCCCCAGGGGCCCCTACGACGGCAAGATGTGTGTAGCTGCAGCAGCAGCAACAGATTCTTTTAAAACAATAAAAAGCAAAAAATCAAACAAACAAACAAAGACAAAGAAGGGGGCCCCTAGTTAACCCCTGCATAGACAGGCGGCCCCCCACCCTTTGCGGGGGGGCCCCCCAGGGGGCCCCCTTGAGGGCCCCCTCGGGGGGGCCCCCTGCTGCAGCAGGTGTACCCTATTGCAGCAACAGAGGGCCCCCCTGCTGCTGCTTCTGTCTCCTTTTAATTGTTTTGCTGCTGTAGAGATATTGGGGGGGGCCCCCTTTGACTTCTTTTTGCTGCACGGGTTTTGTTGTTTGTTTTGTCGCTGTCTCCTTCTGTCTTCTTCTGTCTCCTTCTTCTGTCTCTCTTGTTTCTTTCTTTAGCATCCTTTGCGGGTGGGTGTGCAGCTTCTACTGCTGCTGCTGCTGCTGCTGCTGCTGCTGCCAACCGGCGTAGGGGAGGAGGAGACAGACGGAGACAGCTCGGGGGGG